TAATTTTTCTAAAAAATTATTTATCCAAAAAAAATAATTACAAATGCAAGCATTTTGAAATGATGTTTTTTCAAATATTCTCATTTCAAATTTCTTTAAAATTTTAAAATTCCTTATCTAATCATATCATTAGACTCCAAGGCAAGATTACTCTATTAGAATTTAAGTACCAAAATCTAGTAATTAAGTTTCAAGTTACTTTTGCTGGTATTTGCCTTCTAAGCAGAATCATATTTATAGTACTGTAATATTTGATATCTTATAAAGGTCTTATTTATTTATCATTAAGTTTATTTACTTGTATTTTATTGTTGATATTTATATAATAAAGTCTTTTGAATATAAATAAAGTTTTGAAAGGGAATTACAATAAGATTGCAATTATGAGATCATTATAGCATAAAAGTTATATGTTCCAAAATAGTTCCAAGTCGATGCTTTATTAATAAGAGAACATCGACAAAAATTATTGAGACTAGCATATGGTTATACTCTTATTTATAAAGTAAACAACCATTTTATAGGTTGAAAGTTAGGTAAACATAAGCTAACATAAATGTGCTTATTACAAAAACAAATTCACTGAACATGACCCAAGATGAGAATGCTATATGGTAGTTCATATAATATCTATAGCTATAATCTTATGTGATGGTTGTATAAGTGATCATTTGACTTGAGATTACTTATGTTCTTTATATGATGTATATTGTACTTTCACTTTAGTTATGGTTCTAACTAAGAATGTTCAGTCGAATATTGTTGGACATAACATTAAGCATATGAAATTACATGAAGTAATCAAGATAAGATTCATCACCTTTTGTGATAAAGAGAGTATCTCAACTAATCTTCATTGAATTAACTTGAAAAATCTTTAGTCAAAGTGAAATAAGAATTTAGAATTGTTCTAAAACTTATTTGTGAGTTAATGTCAAGGACAATACTTAACATGGTTGAACAAGATTGAGTAGACACTAAAATATACTCAATGTTCAAACCAAGATACTATGTGATGAAAGGATATTAATTATACACTAAGATAATTCATAGATAGGTTGTCAAGTCATATTAATTTCCTTTAGCAATTGGGGGTGATGGCAGTATAGCTAACATTAATCATGATCTATAAACATAAGATTGGCTAATTAGAGAATTAGTGATGGAGTCAAAAAATTTGTTTGATCCATAGCTAAATACTAAGGCCCATATTATTTGTGTTTATTGTCAATATGTTAAAGAACCTAATGGGTCACACACGATAGGTCAATTGTGGAAAATTAAAATTAGGATAAATTAAGTTGGATTTAATTTGGTTTTGATATAACCAAAAGACAAAGGAAATAAAATAAGAAAGAGTAACTTTCCTTGTTTAGTGCATTCAGCCAAGCATGAGATATTTATGAAAATATGCATGCCTTGTTTTAACTTAATGTGGTCGAATGTCCCTTTATAAATAAAAACACTAGCCACCATTCCTCTTGCAATATACAAAGCATACTTATGCAAAAATAAGCTAAAAGAAAGTCTAAGCAAAAACTTAAGAGAAAATAAGAGGTTTTGTAAACACTAATTAGCTAAAGTGTGGTTTATGTCCTTCCATATTTTAGAGCAAATTATTTCACAAGAGTTCATATGGATCACTGTTAAAGGTTGCACACTTGGATAGCTTTTTAGCTTAATAAACTATTTGGAAGATCACTACCTTAAATCAAAAGAGTTTTGGCACACAAGGTATACACCATTGCTGAAACTCATATAATTTATATGTATATATATATTGTGTATTTGTATAATCTTATTGATTGATTTTGGTTTCAAAAAATTGAAAATTTTAAAATTTTACTATTTTAACTCCGTATATTAATGCATAATTCCCCTCAAGTTTTACATAATAATTGGCCATCTAATTATTTTCCAAACACAATGTTAGGTCGAAACTTGACATTTGAAGTGTCGAAAGCTTATCATAATATTCTGCATCCGGTGTTTTGGCATGCATGTGAATTTAATGAATTTATACTAATTATAAAATCCTTGATTGATTTGATATCTTGAGTCAAGTGATACCAACTCAATTGGAGAATATTCATAAAAATCAAATTATAAATTTAGCGATATATAAGAATAAAGTTATAATAGCAAGTTAGCTTTTTTGAAATTAAAGTGAAACAAAAAAAAACCAACTTTGCTACTTTTTCTCCATTGCAAAAGCCAGTAATCTACATGTAGTTATTTTATATTTTTTTCTTTTACAATAATTATATATTTTTCTCGCTTTTACAATAACTATTAATATATTTTTTATATTTATCTTAACTATCAGTTTTTTTTTATATATTTCACCCAAATAGTGGTTTAAAGGCTATTATATATGATGCTCATTAGTCATTAATTAATTGGTTTCCTAATTAATTCATTACTTATTTTGCATATTCGAGCATTTAGCTTAATAACTAGTGAATGTTTCTATATTAAGAAAAGATAAATTCAACTCTCTTTTCTCACAAACAATATATATATATATATATATATATATATAAATAACTAGATAGAAGTATGTGCTTTGCAATGAGAATATAATAAAAAAGTATTGGATAAATATAAACATTTAGATATTAAACAATGAAGAGGAGAAAAAGAATTTTTTTGTTAGTTTTTCATAAGATATGTATAATATTTCATATATTTTGACAAAAAATCTTAAAATTAATATATATAGTATTTTATATATTGTACTTACATTTTTTGTTAATTTTTTATGCTACGTTATGAGCATTATATTTTTATTAATCATTTAATCATATGTATTATTTTTTAATTTATTGTAAAAAATATTTAAAAAGAAAAATAAAAAAAGTAACTTAATTTTTATTTCTTGTTTTTATATATATTTATTATATAAAAATTAAAAAAATTCAAAACCCATAAAATCTCACCAAATTACAAACCTACATGAAACAAACACTCACATTCTTTTTTTTCTAAATCCAATTAAACCATAAGTCATCATGCCTCAAACCAATCAAAACCCAATACGCTATTGCCGACCAAATTTAATAACTTATTTCACTCTTTTATTAGCTTGACAGATGGAAAGCAATTTGGTAGCTTACAATTCAGATGAGAGTTATCCCTAGTTAATAACAATTTTATTGTATATTATTGATTAATTTAGGTACGGAAAAAGTATTAATAACCTCACAATGTCTATTCAAATACAGCATCAATAAATTTTATATCTATTATCTTAAAACGATCCTAATAAGTGATATTTTTTTAATTAAATTATATTAGTTAAAATATTAAAAAATTTTAAGTTTTCTCTAATATTATGACAAAAAATATAAATTTTTTTTTATATCAAAAGTATTCAAAAAATTTGTTTGTTTTTTAAAGAAGCTCCATTGCTAGATTAATTTAATATTTTATAAAAAAAAAGCTTTATTTTATTTTATTTTTTACCAATATTTATTTTTCACTAAATAATTTATTAAAAAATAAATTTTTATTAAAATATTTTCAAAATCTTTCCAACTCTTTTGGTAACAATTTTGTTTTAATTTCATCATTGGAATAATTTTAATTTATTTTAAAATATTTATAAAATTTATATGATACAAATAAATAAAAATAATTATTAAAAATTATAAAGTTATTTGTCTAACCCATATTTTTAGTTTTTCATATTTTCAAATAATTAAAATTTGTTCCTTACATAAAAATTTAAATATTGATGTAAATAAAAAATAAACAAATAAATAAAAAAATGAAACTAAAAAGAAATGAAAAACAAAAAACAAATCAAAGCAAAAAAATATGAGTCGACAACTTTTAATATATGACAAAGACAATTCTATCTTCAGGTTTTAGCATTAGCTCCAAAAGTATTCCTCAAATCATTTTTTAAGACAAAAAATTAATGTGGCTATAAATCATAAAAAAAAAAAAGAATAGTTTTAATTGTTTTTATAGATTATTTGTCTTTTATGTCTACACATAGAGTATTAGAATATATTTTTTAATTATCACCATAGAATTTTGAAATAATTAATCATGCAATTATCTCTTTAACAATATCTACAACAATCCCAAATGCGCATATCGCCATTCACAGTGTCATTGCCTATATTAATTAGTCAAACATAAATTTCCACTTTCCAAGTCATTGTCTTTTGTCGATGATAATCATAAGGTGACTATTTCTCGCACCCACATATGAAATTGCTGTTACCAGTCGTGAGCTAACCGGCGGCTGAAGTTTCTGTCTACTATTTTCTTTGGGGTCCCCCTCCCCTTTCTACTTGTTTCGACGCTGCTAAAAAAAAAAATGATAAAGGTTGCTTGTACAGTAGTTCAACTACTTCCAATTGGTTTCAATTTTGGTGGCTACTCTAACATATATTAGGAATTAGCGTTCCGGTTGGGTTTTAAAATCCAATTTTTAATATAAAATAATGCTAAATATATTATTATTTGAGTTATTAAAAGTATTTTTAGATTATTAAAAATAGTCAATCACAAAAATTGATTAGAAAGTAAAATTACGAGGTGGAATTTATGATTTGGGATAAAATGAAAAAAATACACACTCAATAATTCATTATGAACAAAAATATATATCCTCAATTATATTTTTATATATTTTTAAATTAAATTTCATAATAATTTATATTAATTACTTCAAAAGCATTTCAATTTTATTTATTTATCTTAATATTAATTTACTTGAATAATATTAAAAAATTATATTTTATTTTTCAACATCATGTCTTTTTTTAAATATTTTAACATTTTTTAATATTCTTTTACATTATGGTAATAATTAACTAGACCTTAATAATAGAGAATTCAAAACGGATATCAGTTAACTACCAAACGAAGAAAATTAAAAATAATCCTACTACTTGCTGTTTAAAACTAGAAAGAAAAAAATGCCATTTAATTTATAACGATTGACACGTAGGTTATTTGTAGAATGTTTTAATGTCAGATTTGGCTATATATACAAAGCTTCATCTTTATCATGCTTAAGATTTGCCCTATTCAAAACTCAAGAGGCACCGTAACCACTAAGGCTAGGTAGCTCTCTTCAGGCTCCTTTCTCCTGTTTTTTCCCCTTCCGCTCTCCCACCTCCCGGATCTGGGTTGTATCCGTATTTCTACTTTCTTGGCCTCCGTTTCTTGTCAGGTTTCTGTCTTTTACGTGCATGATTTCAGTTTTAACTTGTTTCTATTGTTCAAAATGAATAACACATTGACGCTAAGGGTTAAAGTCATGTTTTATTCGGTTTATGACAGAGGTTAGCTATAGCTGTTTAAACTCTGAAATTCCTGCCCTGTGCATTAATTCCAAGCCTTCTTTTTCATCTGCCAGTCTTTTCATCTTCATAGCTTCATGATTCAAGGTGTTGTGTGTGGTTTTTGAGCCCAACATCTGTATTTTTTTTTTTCTTTTAAGATATATTTATCGTGCTCGAGTTCATACATTCCGCTAGTATTGAGAAAAGCTCTGCTCATGAACGTCGTGAGCAAGGCAAAAGGCAGAAAGGGCAACCTGATCATCAAGACTTGGGAACGATGCAAATCCATTGGCCGTGGCCGCAAGGGCTCCTCCTCAGGAAACACCCGTGCTCTTTATAAGAAGAGCAAATCGTGGCCACCCATGGATGCCTCTCTTGAAGAAGAGAAACGCACAAGGAAGAACCAAGTGGCACCGGAAGGTTGCTTCTCGGTGTATGTTGGAGCCCATAAACAAAGATTCGTGATCAAAACCGAATACGCAAACCACCCACTTTTCAAGATTCTGCTTGACGAAGCCGAGTCTGAATATGGATTCGACAGCGAAGGGCCCCTTGTGCTTCCCTGCAACGTTGATCTGTTTTGCAAGGTGCTACTGGTGATGGAAGATGGCGACAGTAAGATCCGACAGGGATGTAACTTCGCCAAAGGTTATAGCTTGTATCGCCTCCTCACCCCGCCTCGGATGATCGCGATAAATCAGTTCTAATTGCCCCACACGCGCGCGCGCACACGCGCGTATATATATATATATATTAATATTTCTGAATGCACATTTTTATTAATTTTGTGTCAGTCTTCTGTCTTGCATAGTTAAGATACTGTTTGTAATTTGATATGCTACAGAAAAAAGCTTGTTAAAAGTGGTAGAAATCCAAACCGGGGTTCATAGCTATCTTGGTAAGATCGCTATATTCTATTGTTATCAAACTTTATTGTTACACGCACCAAAAAAAAAAATTGAATTTACTGAAATTTTATTATTAACTATTCTATATGTGTGGGAGAATAATTATATGTGCATTAAATAATGTTTTTTTTTCTAGTCCTATGGTAGTAAATGTTAAGAGTAAAAAAAATTGATTTGATTTTAGGATTCAACAATTTGAATTCCAAGTAATTTAAACTCAAATAATTTGAATGTTATAATTTAACGATTGAAATTTTTCAAAAAATAAAATTTTCATACTTAAAATGATGCAACCTAAACTTGACTAAGAACTTTTGACCAAAAAAAACAAAAAAAAAAAAAAACGTAGACTTAGAGTAGCCTGATTGCAGCTCTAGTCTTTTGATAAACTACTAACAGAAGTCGTTGAAGATAACCATCACTTGAAATTAAAATTGTTCTAGTGTTGGCCACATGAAAAGCTTCATAGAATAATATATATAGAAACATAGATGGTAATATAGCTATATTTACTTGATCAACAATCAAATAAAAAAAGAACTTTAATGCTATATATATATATATATAACTATCAAAATTTGATCTTTAATATTTGAATTAAATCCAAAAATCATTTGGGTATGTATTTGTTGATTGAAATTTTAAAAAATTTTACAACGATCAAATGATTTTTGCCATTAATATCTCCAGCAAAACTGGGATAGTTATGGACAAAGTAGAAATCATCAAGTTATTTAACTTAGTGGTAAGCCTAATGCTAAAAAGGTTAAAAAAATGCATGGTTAAGATAAAAGCATAAAATTGTTGCAAAGTAAAATTATTATTGATATTATATTATTGATTTTGATTTTTGTGTTAGGAATAGTGACTTCAATCCTATAACATATTTGTTTGAAATTAATTAGATATTATTTGATGGACAAAAAGACTTACAGTAGAAGAATTTTAAGAGAAAATGACTCTTAATAGGTAATTTAATTTACAAAAAAAGAATTTTAAAAGGAAAGAGATTCTTAATAGGTAAGTTTGTATGTTTATAAATAGGTGAAGTCTTTATAGGGTAAGGTATGAGAAAAAAAAAATAAAAGAGTTGTAGGGTTTTATAAGATAGACAACCAATAAGACTACTGAAGATTTACATCTTATGAGTGCGTATGTTTGTATATTTGTGAGTAGATTATAGGAGATTAAAAGGGTCCACATAGGTATGGTATATGTGAGTGAACTAGAAAAGACTGAGAGAGTCCATATAGATATTGGTGCATTAGTGTATATGGGTTTGCGTTTATTTGGGTTAAAAATATTACATAGGACTAGAAAAGATTGAGAATGTCTATGAGTATTGATATGGTTGATATGATTATTTGTTTATAATTTTTACAATTAGTGGATCTTGTTTCTCATCCGTGGATGTAGGTCAATTAGATTGAATCGCATGTAAATTATTTCTCTTGTGTGATTGATTGATTGTTTGATTTTCCTTCCACTAGCTTGATTGGATAAAAGTTTTTTACCTAATAAGTGGTATCAGAGCTGTGGTGATCCCCAACAAGTGGCATCAAAGCTATGGTGTTTTCAAATAAGTGATATCAGAGCTAAAGGTTTAAGACGTGGGAAGAGTTGAAGGTTCGAGTCATGAAAAAAGGCAAGTCCAAAGGAGCTCAACTCAAGGAAGAAGTTCAAGTTTGTATTTCGAAGATAAGTTTGTATAAAGCATGAAGACATACAAGAAAAGATGATTGTGAGACTTTCATTATAAGTGAAGTCAATCATGTCTAGTATGAAGATAGATGATTTGATAAAATTTGAGTCAAAGTGGAGATTGTTAGGAATAGTGACTCAATTCCTATAACAAATTTATTTGAGATTGGTTAGATATTGCTCGATGGACAATAAAACTTGCAAAAGAAGAATTCTAAGAGAAAAGAGATTTTTAATAGGCAAGTTTGACTTGTAGAAGAAGAATTCTAAGAGGAAAATGATTCTTAATAGGTAAGTTTGTATGCTTATAAATAGGTAAAGTCTATATAGTGTTAGGTATGAGAAAAAATATGAGAATTATAGGATTTTATGAGATAGACACCCTATAAGACTACTGAAGATTTATATCTTATAGGTGTGTATGTTTGTATATTTGTGAGTAGACTAAAGAGATTGAGAGGGTCCACATAGGTATAGTGTATGTAAATGGACAAATAGACTGAAAGGTTCATATAGATATGGGTGCACGTGTATATAGGTTTGTGTTTGTTTGTGTTAAAAATATTTCATAAGACTAGAAGAGATTGAAAGTGTCTATGGGTATTAATGTAGTTGATATGATTATTTGTTTGTAATTTTCTACAATTAGTGGATCTTGTTTCTCATCCGTAGACATAGGTCGATTAGATCGAACAACGTTAAATTATTGTCTCTTATGTGATTGATTGATTGTTTGGTTTTGTTTCTACTGGCTTGATTGGATAAATGCTTTTTTCCTAGTAAATGGTGTCAAAGCTATGGTGATCCCCAATAAGTGGTATCAGAGTTGTGGTGTTTCCTAACATTTTGAAACTTTTTTTACATTTTTGAAAACTAATATTTATACTTAATATATATATTTTTTCTCAACAATACTTAAATAAACAAAGGAGAAAACAAAAATTTTTGAAAATTCATAAGTCTAACTGTTGCCTTCTACTCTTTTGCTTTCATTTGCTTGGTCATGAGTGATAACTGTGCCTTATACTCATTAATTTTACTTAGTGTAATTGTTGGTTAGATCCCTATAACAACCACTACTGCATTCCTCACCTTTAGGTTGAATTTCTCTCAATCTTAATGCTAGATTATTCTAGACAAAAATTGCACTACAAAAGAATTCAATTTTAAGGGCACATTGGAATTTATCTTTTTTCTTTTTTTACCTATCAAAATAAGCTCACCATTAATGATTAATGTTTTAACAGTAATTTTTACCTTTGATAATAATTAAAAAGAACTCTATTTTCTCACATATCTTTCCTTCAATAATTTTTTTCCTCTCTTTTGCTTTCTTTTTTGTTTTCTCGAAAGATTCATGTTTTTGCTCTTTCAAAATTAAAATCCTATTAATCACAATCTTTTTCTCCAATCAAAATATCTTTCTTCAATCATAGTTTATTTTTCAAATTGCCTTAATTTTTAAAAATCAAATTACCCTAATTTTTCCCATTCCACACCTATGATTATCATTTTCATTGTCATCTTTGTCATTGCCATTTGTCGTTGTCATCCTCATTTCTTCAACCAAGTATTCTTCTCCTCGTTTCTTCAATGTCATTTACTAAAGATGTTGAATAAGTGCTCAAAATGATCACTCAGAATTAAAGTGAAAGCAGTGAACAACAAAATAGCGATGTGGAAAGAAGTTTTGCTTTTTCTTATTTAACCTTAGAACATTAGAAAAATATTGTATTTCTAGTTTAGTTATTCAATGTTTTTGGTGATAGGTCTAGGTGAGAATGGGCCACTAGTTAAAAGATGTAAATGGTCAAGACTTCATGTTGGACTCTACATTATATTAGTTTAGGGCTTGGCAGCATTGTTAAGGGTCTTTGATGCTTTTATAATGATAAATGATATTTGCCAAGTAGGAATTTCTTTAGGTGATGAGGTATTCTTTGTATTTATTTAGTTACAAAAGATGTTCCTTTTGATAATTTTGATTCAAACACACTTCTGATAATTTCTTTTATATTTTTTTTGAAAGGTTCTTTTCGAGAAAGTTGTAAGATGGCCCATTTGTACCATAGATGTTGGTGTTGCTCAACCATAACTTAGAATTCAAGTAAATACATTGAAGTTTGTTGGTATTAATTTATTCCTTGTTCTTGATTTAGAACTTCTAGGATTGAAAGTTTTGTTAAGAGTGTTATTGCATCCATAAAATTTAGGTTACAATGCATAATTTTGAACTATTATTCACATGTGCCAATTGCAAGGTTGAGGTTTTGACCAAAAATGACAAAAGAAATACATTTTTACTTCTTAGTAGATTGCTAGTGCTTAAATTGCAATCTTCTCTTCTCTTTTTGTAATGTTTTTATTGTTCTTATTTTCGAAACATCATCTTTCTTAACTTGTGCTTATGAATTGTTAGAAAAAAAGTTTTTATTAATGATTTCCACAAGCACATTTAAAATTGACTTCTTTTATAATTAAATTATTGCTGTTAAACAACTTAATCATGATGGTCTTCAAGGCTAATAGGAATTCTTTGTCAAGGTTTTTATGTTGAGCCTATTACATTATATTAATCTAGTCACCTCGATTCTCTATTGCACTGCTGAAGATCAAAGGCTTTTGGTTTATGAATACATGCTAATGGGCAGTTTAGAAGATCAACTTTTTGGTAGTTTTTATTAACAAATTTTAGTTTACCATAGGGTTTCTAAACCATCTTTGAGGCTAACCCACCAAGTTTGGTAAATGAAAATGATGCTAGCATATGGTTAAAGTCAGAGTTTTTAATCCAATTCAATGGAATGACCTCTAATCCTAATGACCTAGTAATCCTTATTGGTAAGTGTAGTTATTTATTTATTTTTAGTAATTAGATCAAAATTATTTAAGAAAATGATGGGATTTTGTGCAATAATTTTTGTTATCCAAAGTTCCAAACTCGTTATATAAGATTATGAAATGTATACACCTACCTTTATTTAGGTTAATCCATTTGCCTTGATTACATATATGTAATTCCATATTTGATTGTATATACTTGCTTGTTCATATGGTAATGTAGGTGCCACTAATGAGCCTCAAGAATTGGATGTGCTATTCTTAGAATATTAATTAGTACTTTTGTTAAATGAACTTGCTACAACTTGATTTATTTAAAATATATCATTTTAGTTAGATTTCTTTAAAAGAGATAATAATATGTTTTTATTAAAAAAACAATTCCAACCAGAACCAGTTTTCTTTACTACTTTCTTAGCTTCTACTCCCAAGAATGAACTAACCATGTTAATAGGTGTCT